TCCACTCCCACGGATCCCACCCAGCTCCTGAAGAGCTCCCCCTCTCCCACCCCAACTCACGGCACCGCTGCGTTTCATCCTTTTAGGGCCATTCCGGGCAGATCCCGGCCCTGCCACGGCATTCCCTGACCCCGCAGGGATCACCACTGCTCCGAGAAGGGCTCAGACTGGATTTCAGCTCTGATTTTCAGCTCWGGGGGATCTCTGTCCAAGCAGAGGCAGCTCAGGACACGAATCATCATCATCATCATCAACATCATCATCATGGGGATTTTGGTGATCCCTTCCCCACCCGCTTTTATAGGAGCCTGATGGCTCCCATTGGCTCAGGCCACCCTTTTTGCAGCGAGCCCTCTGCCCCATTTCAATGGCATTAAATCATTCCTCAGCTCATTGTCCTGAAAGGATGAGTTACACATATTTCAATGATTAACTTCTGGGCACTGCTGAGGCCCCAGCAAAAAAAAAAATTAAATATCCCGAATCCAAAAGCTYCCTCTGACTCTTCTTCCCTTCCTGCCAAGCTCTCTGCTTTTGCTGCTCCCACAAAATTATGATTTTYCTTGAGAAAAACCTTCCTGGCCTGATGCAACCAGCTCAGATGGCATTGGAGGGATGATTTCAGCTTCAGAAAAGCAGAGAAAAACAGGGGAAAAGCTCAAACCCCCCATCCAAAGAGGAAGAAGCAGTGCTGGGAGGGAGGAACTGGATCCTGTTTTTAGTGGGTGATGGAGGAACAAACACTGGGAGGAAAMGCTGGATCCCATTTTGAGGGGGTGATGGAGRAACAAACCTCCTGGGAGAAAGGAACTGGTTCCTATTTTCAGGGGGTGATAGAAGAGCAAACTGAGGAAGAGCTGGATCCCATTTTCAGTGTGTGATGAAGGAACAAACCTGCTGAAAGGAAGCAATTGGATCCCATTTTGAGGGGTGATGAAGGAGAAGAACCTGCTGCGAGGAAAAGCTGGATCCCATTTTCAGTGGGTGATGGAGGAACAAACCTCCTGGGAGGGAGGAAGGAATTGTATCCCATTTTAGGAGGTGATGAAGTAACAAACCTGGTGGAAGGAATTGAATCCCATTTTCAATGGGTGATGGAGGAACAAACCTGCTGGGAGGAAGGAACTGAATCCCATCAGGTTTTGGGGGATTTTTCCAGTCCTTTCTTTTCCCCTCCTCTGCCTGCTGCACCCCCAAGCCAGGGCCTTGTGTAAGGAAATCCAGGAACAACACAAAAGGGAAAATGCAGATGAGTTTGGAGAGAATTAAAAAAACAGCGAATGATAGAGGGGATTGAAATGAAACTGGAAGGGAATGGTCTGRAGCTGCCTGGGATGGACGAGGGTTCAGCCAAGCTCCCATTTCCAGGAGATCCAGCCAGGTAGGAGCAGCAGCTYCTTCTCCTCCCATAAAACAAACCCTCTTCTAATAAAACTTCTGCCAAAGAATCAACAAGAAAGCTGGGCTTGGATTTATGGGATGAGAAACCCATAAAGGCGTTTGAAAGCATCGGATCAGGAATTCTGGCAGCTCACTCCCCTTTCTCCCAGGCAGAGCACAAGAGCCAAACACACACAACAGAGGGGGAAAAATGAGGGAGAGGTAAGAAATGAGAAAATTAAAATTGATTTTAAATATTCTTAAATATTCAGGAAGTGCTGAGTGCTCTTCTCAGAACACACATTTACCTTTCTGACAACCACAGAGCCACTCCACAGGAATCAGRAGGGTTCATCTCATGTGGCAGGAAAGGGAAATTATTAAATTATGAAATAATTAAGGGGAAAAAAAGCAGCCTTGGGAGAGTGGCAGATCCTCTGTGTGACACTCAGGACACTGGCAAATGATGCCACATCAGCACAATGACATTTGCACTCCATAAATCATTTCTGATCTGGGGTTTCTGACACAAAAAAGATCAAACAACGCAACTCAAAAAAGGCAAATCCTCACCTGAATTTACAGACAGGTTTAAAAATCATTTCTTGACCATTTAGCTCTCTTGTTTTCTTTCTAATGGATCCCAAACCCACCAAGGACTTCCCCCTTTTAATCCTAAACAAACCCAGTCTAARTGTACCTTTAGTCTCCAGCTTTGGGAGGCATTTAATGTAAGATAAATTATCTGTAAGAGGCAACAAATGTATTTTCCCAATAATTTTCTTTCCTCTCCAAACATTAGAGAAGCTTAAATACCATGGAAACGAATATGACAAATCCTCCAGACACTGGAATTTATCAGCCCCTTTCACACACTGCACAACTAAAGCTCAGAATGCATCAATTCTTTGCATAAAAACATGAAATAAAAACATGACTGAGCTGAGGGAGGAAAAAAATAAGTCAGATATTGTGATTTGATTTTGTCTGTAAGTCACAAAATTCCCAGAAATTTTATTTCTATTTCTAGTACAKCATAACAATGATTAAAAAATGGTCTTCAGGCACAATAGAAACCAGGGGCTGACTTTGTGTGGATATTCACACACAAATGATTTATTATAATCACCAAAGCTTTCAACATTAAACACTTGATCCTGAAATCCTTAATCAGACAAAAAAGSTCAGTAAATTCAGCTTCATCCAGTGCTGCCTCCCGTTCTTCCATAGATTAGAGCTCAGCCTAGGCTCATTTATTCCTTGTCTGTGTGTAAATATTGGAATAAATGTTCAGAGGGAAATGAGACATCTCGAGTTTCTGCTGAGCTTTGATTTCCCAGCTTCAACCCTGGTTTGGGGCAATTTGGGAGGGATCTGGAGCTYTCTGGATGTCAGAGTCCTTGAGCTGCCCTCCTGCAGCTCCCCTCCATTCCACAATGGTTTGGGAGAGCATGGCTGGACACTGAGCAGCTCCTGCCCACCCCTGCCCGTGTTCTGCCCCAAAATTCAGCTTTCATGGCAGYCCTTGCTGTGGAAGCTTCTGGAARCCATTCTGATCCCAGCCTGCTGTGCTAATTAAAGCCCTGCCAGCTGCACATGGGCCTATTGAAATTTAAAAAAATTGAAATCCAGCTGTTCCTCTATGGGGAATGCACAAATCCCAAAGGATTGCCCCAGCATTGCTGGCACTGCCAGCCYTGTTCATGACAAAACACCCCAACAATAGCGTCCTTTGGAAACAATTGGTTCCCTCATCATCTCCAAGTCATCAAAACTGGAATGTGTTGGAATGGATTTCCCAGTTATGGCCAATACCGGATTGAACCAGAATCAAAACCAGGCTCAGATTGATGCCTTAGGATTTTTAGCTTCTACATTCATGGATCTGTATTCTTGTACTTCTCTAGTACAGCACTAAAGCTGCTGTTCTCCCATCTTTAGACAAAACAATTCCTCTCGGAGCCTGAATCCAAGGACAACTCACTGCTCTGAGCCCCAAAATATGGAAATAACAGAGAATTGGGGGGAACAAGCTTGGGGGATTGACATTATCACCTGAGGGTGTCATTGGGGAATTGGGGCCTGATATGTTAATAGGACAGAACTTATAAAAGGTGAAGATCTCGTGACTCGGGGTCCATTTTGGCTTTTATCTGCCTGCAATGTAGCAGCAGGTCTGGATTAAATTTGTCTGCTTTTATTCTTTGAACTTCGGCCTCTGTTTGAGCTGAGCCTTGGTTTAGGCATCAAGATGAGCTGGTTCTCTTCAGGAAGTGCTGCCAGCTGCCCCCTAGGCCTGATCACCTTTGTCTTCCGTGTCCATTGCTGAGTGTCTGTGCTGCTCCTCGGGATCCCCTGGGAGGATGCTGGTGACTGTCTGCAGCAGGGACTCGATCTGCTCCTCTGTCAGCCTCTCCTCGCTTTCCTCTACCATCTGTGGGTCAAAAACCAACCCTCTGTCACCATCAAATCCATGTTTCCTCTACCACCTACAGGTCAAAAACCTCTGTCACCAAAAAACAACCCTCTGTCACCATCAAATCCACCATCTGCAGGTCAAAAACCAACCCTCTGTCACCATCAAATAAATCCATGTTTCCTCCCCCTTCTGCAGGTCAAACAACAACTCAACTGTCACCAAAAACCAACCCTCTGTCACATCAAATCCATGTTTCCTCCACCATCTGTAGGTCAAAAACCAACCCACTGTCACCATCAAATAAATCCATATTTCCTCCACCATTTACAGGTCAAAAACCAACCCACTGTCACCATCAAATCCAGATTTCCTCTACCATCTGCAGGTCAAAAACCAATCCTCTCACCATCAAATCCAGATTTCCTCCACCATCTGCAGRTCAAAAACCAACCCMCTGTCACCATCAAATCCACRTTTCCTCCCTCAGCCCCAAAGAGGACTCAGCTCAGCAGGAAACACTTTGTCAAGACACAGCCTGAGCTGTTCCAGAAGCCTTTTACAAAGCAGAACTTTTGCAATGACTGAAAAAAAGCCATTGTTACCCATGACAATTGGCACTCTGTAATGGGATCCCGCTTTTCTGACAGCCAGGAGAACACCACACTGGGACAGCCTGTTTTATCCTAAAGCCTCTCCCAACCTACACATCCGTGTCCTGAGCCAGGCTTTTCCTCCAGCTCGGATTTCCCCCAAATTTCTGTGCTTTCATGGGATATCCCAAGAGGTGTTCCCTAGAATTTGGCATCTCATCTGATAATCAGCCCTTAAAAGAAACCACCTCATCCTACAGCAGCTGGAATTTGYTTGGATCAGGAGATTCCTGGATTTAAAGACATTTTAAAGTTCTGAGAAACACAAAAAAACATTGTCATGAATCCATAGGATTAATCAGGGACCAACTCCTGCCATGGAGCTGTGGCAATTTTTATATTGCTTCAATTCACAGGCAGCTGTTAAAAAAGGAAGAAAAACTTTGTCAGAGGACTGGAAAAACAAGTCAGAAGAACTCTTCAAACACAAATGAAACCAATTAAGATTGTGGGGTTTGAGTTTTCTTTTTTTAATCCCCACTCCTTTAAAAGGGCCTTTGAAGAGCAGTGATTTATATTAATGATGGTTCCAAGTCAATGCAGGTTCAATCAGCTCTGGCTGWAAAWTGTCAGCTCTTCAGAGGCCTTCTARAAAGCAGAGTGGGACATTTAATTAATTTTTGTTTTTCTTCGGGTCCTCTGAGCTGTCTTTGCACAATCTGATCATCTTTCATCAAGATCATGCCCAGATCCTCGAGGGAAGCACACACAGAGAATCCACTCCTCAGCAAAAGGCAGGCAGGGATTTTCCATCTGCAAATGGAAAATGCATTTCTGGGGATTCTCCCATCTAAGGGTGAAATTCCCTAGGGAGTTTTTCCTTCAGCTGCTTGCTCTGCTGAAATCAGAACTCCAATAAAAAACAAAGATTTCCTGAGCAGCACCAGCTCTTCCCAACTCCAGAACACATTAATGTCTCTATATTACACCTCCTCTCCCTTTTTTTCCCTTCACTTTCTCCTTTAGGTGGTTGCTCTGCTGAAATCAGAACTCAAATAAAAAAAAACAAAGATTTCCTGACCAGCACCAGCTCTACCTAACTCCAGAATTTCAGGCAGAACATGTGAATGTCTCTATATCACATCTCCTTTTTTCCTCCACTTTCTCCTTCAGCTGCTTGCTCTGCTGAAATGAAAACTCCAATAAAAAACAAAGATTTCCTGACCAGCACCAGCTCTTCCCAACTCTGGAATTTCAGGCAGAACACGTGAATGTCTCTATATCACACCTCCTTTTTTTCMTCCACTTTCTCCTTTAGGTGGTTGCTCTGCTGAAATCAGAACTCMAATAAAAAATAAAGATTTCCTGASCAGCACCAGCTCTTCCCAACTCCAGAATTTCAGGCAGAACATATGAATGTCTCTATATCACATCTCCTCTCCCTTTTTTTTCCTCTACTTTTTCCTTTAGGTGTTGCTCTACTGAAATCAGAACTCAAATRAAAAATAAAGATTTCCTGASCAGCACCAGCTCTTCCCAACTCCAGAATTTCAGGCAGAACAYGTGAATGTCTAATCCCTGTTTTCTCCCCTGCTCCTCAATGACTCCAAATGAGTAACGCTCCAGCTCCCAGTACAGACCAATCCCACTGATGTCATTTTTACTGGCACACACTGCAGGGACACACACAGCAGCCCCACAAATCCCATTTGAGCCCAAAAGCCAATGAAAGGAACTCATCTCTGCTGTTTCAGATGTGCTGTGAGCGATGCCTCATTAAAATTAAAATTTGGGAAAAGCATCTCAAGAAGGAGATCTGGAGCTCCAAATTCCCTTCCCTGACAGATCCACAGCCTCTGCCAGAGGGAACTGGRGATTCCTGCACCTCTGGGTGCCTCTCCAGCAGCTCAACAACAATAGACACAAACCAACTTTGAGCAGAGTGGACAGATTCTTAGGCAAGCCGATGCTTCAGCCTTAGCTTTTTTCAAGWTCTCAAAAGCACAAATTGTGAAAATCAGKTWTTTTCAAGATCTCAAAAGCACAMATTGTAMAAATCAGGTTTTTTCACTCTTTCAAAAAGTGAAAAGCCAGCCCGAGCCTGATTTATGAAAATATCAGTGAGGAAGCAGCAAAGCAAGAAGCCAAAAAGAAAGTATCACAATGAAGCACAGACAGATAAAGACAAATGCAACTGTCCTGAGAGAAAACAGATCTCAGGGGGAACAGGAGGTCACTCTGAGCCTCATTCCACATCCAGCAGATGCTCTCCCAGCCTTCTGATTTACAGCTGCAAGATAAAATACTTCTGATGCTGACAGCACTAAGAAATACGGTGCTGAGAAGAGAAATGATGTGCAAGAAGAAGCCTAAAAGGCAAAAAAACCCCGATTGTACTGAAGGATCTACTTTTCCAGCAGCAATTTTACCAATTTTTGTGAAAAATCTGCAAAAAGCTTGGCTGGAACTGCTCAGGAGCCAGGCTGAGCCCATAAGCGGCCAGGAATGCAAAGTTTATAGTAATAAAAACAAAAATGCAAATGTTTGCAGGGAGTGGATGAGCTCAGATGTTGATGTTGGCAGTGCCACACATCCCAAACTGGAACAGTTTTCCCTCCCTGATGATGCCATGTGAAAAGTTCGGGGTATTTCTGACCAAAGTGCCCTTAATATTTGGAGATCTGGGTGAGGAGCAGAACTGGGAAGTGACAGAAATATGATTTATGACTAAAAAACCTCCCCGATGCCATAAATAATTCCCAATAATAATTAATTAATTCATAATTCTCGCTGCTGCTTTCAGCATTCCAGTCTGTGCTATCCCAAAATACTCCAGGGGTTTGGGAAAGATTTCTGCAGCCCATCAATGTCATTCATAAAACACCCAGTGTGAGTTATCTGTGAAGTGTGGGCAAGAGGACTCACTCAGGCCTCACTGAGAATTTCTATTTCACCCAAATTTGAGCAGTTTGTTATTAAATTTCTACTGAAATATAAATTCAGYAATTCTCCCATTTCATTTCCACAATCAGAGCTGATGATCTATAATCCAAGAAGGAATCAGGAAAACTTTACCAATTAATTGTGATAAAATTCTCAAAAGGAGCCCGTTCCCTCTGCAGCTCAAATGGAATTTTCAAGAAAYAACAGCTAAACTGGGAAGGTGATTCCAGGGATTGAAGTGTTTATCCATAAATTAAAGTGGAAATATATCAAAATATATCAAAATCTGTCCACACAGACACTCAGCATTGCCTGAATTCCTTTTTTAACTCGGTGAAACAAGGACAAACATCCTTAATTCAAACCATACCTTGTGTGTTTACCCAAATAAAAGCAGACTTTAAGAGGCTTCATCCTCCWCCCTGTGCTGCTTTCAATGAAATGTTTATTTGGTTTAATCCCCTGAGACATAACAACACAATGCAAATGGTGAAGGATAAATAAAACCACACTGAAGAACCCCAAAAAGTTCTGAAAAAACTGAGAAATTGTTTCAATGTTTAGTGGGGAGCAAATCTCAGCATCACAGAAGAACCTGTGGGTTAAAAGCTATTGCTGATTYGAATAATAAGCTATAAATTTGATTTTAAATGAATCATAAGCTATGAATTTGATTTAAAATTAATCAGTGAAGTACAGTAATAAAGGAAATATAAATAAAGGGGCTCTGGTAATTTCCAAAGCAATCAAGCTATCAATAATTTAACCCCAGTGTAGGAGGGAGATGTTTGATGAGGAAATCACTGCGATTTCCTCCTTTGAGCAGGGATTTGAAATTGCTCAGTCCCACCACACTGATAGGACAAAAAAAAAACCACACAAAAAACAGAGAAAAAAGCMAAAGCTGAATGATTGGATTAATGTCCCTCAGAGGTAATTAACCACAGAGAAGGAAAAATACACTGTTAAGAAAATAAAATGTTTAAAAACCCCTTAAGATCTTTCATTTTCCAAAATGCTGTTATTTTCCAGTGAATAAAAGACAAATGTGCCGGCCTGGTCATGCAGAGCTTCCAAGCAGAAAGTGGAAATATAATTTTAAAAATAAATATTAAATTTTTTAAATTAAAATTAAATTAAAATCCGCTTTTCCATTCAGAGATAAAAACGCAGAGCAATTTGTTCCTCAGAAGAGGCTTCATCTTCAACCCCATCACAGGGAAATGAACATCCCTGTCTTTTTATTTCCCTTTTATTTCCTTATTTTTATTTTTTGGGAATCACTGAGCCAGAYCCAACATATGTTAAAGATTAAACCAAGAGGTCGAGATAGCTGCAGTGTTCACAATGTTTTTACCCTGTGGGGTAGAAATTTGAATTTCTTGCTCCTTTTGTTGCTATTGTTGTCAGAAAATAAATCCTGGCACAAGCTCTGGAAAAGACAAAGATGGACAGTGGCACCAATTTATGCATTAAGGCTTGCAAAAAAGTCCTTGGGATCAAAAAAATCACAACATAATTTGCTTTTTAGCTGAAAAATAATTTTATCAGAATGGATTTACTGTTTGCATACAGCTAAAAATAGGGGATWTTGTAGAGGGAGAGTAAAAAAGTAAAAAGCCGGGAAAAAAAAGCAATAAGTAGTTATAATTATAATTATAATTATTGCCTCATATGAACCTGTCAGGTCAATTAGACTCCATTCCATGGTCAGCAGCACTGAGGGRAATCTGAGACATCAAAACCCTTTGAGCAAGTGAGAGGCAGCTCTGCCTCGCCTGGCATTGTGTTTAAAGCTTTCTAAAAAAGAAAATTGATGTGTCCCCATCTCCAGGAACTGCTCACGAGTTTTTTCCCCATCATTTATTTCTGATTCAGGTCCAAGCTTTGCAGAGCCAGGGGCAGTGAGAAGAGAATCAAGGCTGTTCCAGACTCACCATTCTCCTCTCTTCAGGTTGTGTCTCATCCTGCAGCTGCAGGGAATGGATTTTCCTGCAGGAAATCCATGTGTGGGTGACCCTGCTGCAGCCTCCACTGCTCTGGGGTGTTTTACACTCAGAAAAAGCAGATTTTGTGTGTTTAGAGACTGCTACAATCTATGTGCTCATCAAAAAAGAAATATTTAAGACAGGAATCGACAGCAAAATCACCTCCTTGCTTCTCCCAGGTTCTGGGTTTCAGGGACACACCAATCTGCATGTGCCGCAGTTCTGGGGAGGGTTCACTGAAATCCAGGCAGCTCAGACCACGGGAATATTGATGGAATGGGAATCAATGGAATATTGATTTAGGGGAAACTTCTCCCTAGGACACGCTGCAGACTCCACTGCTCTGGGTTATCCATTTCCAGGAACTGCTCACGAGTTTTTTCCCCATCATTTATTTCTGATTCAGGTCCAAGCTTGCAGAGCCAGGGCCAGTGAGAAGAGAATCAAGGCTGTTCCAGACTCACCATTGTCCTCTCTGCAGGTCGTGTCTCATCCTGAAGCTGCAGGAAATGGATTTTCCTGCAGGAAATCCATGTGTGGGTGACCCTGCTGCAGCCTCCACTGCTCTGGGGTGTTTTACACTCAGAAAAACCAGATTTTGTGTGTTTAGAGACTGCTACAACTTCTGTGCTTGTGCAAAAAAAAATATTTAAGACAGGAATCGACAGCAAAATCATCTCCTCGCTTCTCCCAGGCTCTGGGTTTCAGTGACAGCACCAACCTGCATCACTGAGATCCAAAGGCTTTGATGAAAATGTGCTGCAGTTCTGGGGAGGGTTCATTGAAATCCAGGCAATATTGAATATTGATTTAGGGGAAATTTGCCCTGGGAATGATGGGAATCCCGATGGAATAGGAGCAGCTGCAGCCCCAATATCTCYGTGAGGATACAAATTCAGGCTGATCCCCAAATGCACAAAAATCACATTTTCCACAAGATGATTGTGATCATTAGAGAAGGGGTTTGGATCAGTAACGAGCTGACACTGAACTCAAATCTTGTGTCTGTGTTCTCCAAATTTCAAGAACAAGTTTTATCTAATTTTGGCGCTACCAAATCTGGAATATCTGAAGTATGGAACTTTTCAGGCTGATCSCCAAATGCACAAAAATCACATTTTTCACCCCTTAGAAAAGGGGTTTGGATCAATCATGAGCTGACACTGAACTCAAATCTCACTGAACTCAAATCTTGTATCTGTGTTCTCCAAGTTTCAGGAATGARTATCTAATTTTGACACTACAAAACKTGRAATATCTGAAGTATGGAACTCCACAGACACCTGGCTTCTGATAGAAAGGTCCAAAATCCCTGTTTTCTTCAAACATGGCACAGGAGGAAACCATTTTCCAGGTGGGCAGGATAACAATGAATCAGGAAGAACAGAAGGGAAGAGACAAAGCCATGCAGTCACCAGAAGATGACTGCATTTAAAGGGAAGAAAAGCCTCTATAAAGGAATAAAATAAATCAGTGTATAAAAAGCACATGAAGCTAACAAAGGCTGAGACAGGCTCCAAATCATGGYTTCTGACTCACTGAAAGCCTCAAAGCAAGCTACTGATGGACACTGATCTCCTCAGCCACTAAACACAGCAAAAATGGCCCAGCTAAAATCATTCTTCTGAGTTGCCTTCAGCATTATAATTGCTGCTCCTTGGTGACAGAAGAAAAATAGTCCTACTGGTATTTCTTTAATCCTTGCCTTTAATTTCAGCAAAATATGATCCTGTTCCTGCTCAGCTTGGTTCCAGGGGAAGATTGCAAACAGATGTTCTTAATGCAAGAGGWCTTCATTGAAATAATATCCCCATTATAACAATCTCTTTATTACCACGGGGTTTGTATTCATGAGGAGATTAAATATTCTTGAGAGAAAAAAAAAGCATCTATTTCTATTCAGTGCCAATCCCTCTGCACATCTGAATTATTCTTACATTGACAGTGGCTACYTCTCATCTGAAAGTCTGTTTATGTCCATTTCTCATTCTACTTCTTTGTTTTTGGAATTTTTGGTTTTGGTGTAACCCTGCTGTCAAAACAAGCAGCGCAGATGCCAAAAAGCACCTGCTGCAAAAAGATGGAATCTGTCCTTATTTGTACCACTTGAATGAATCACCTTTAATGACTGCTTTGGGCATTTCAAATGTGAGAYTGAGGCAAACAGAGYTGGAGAATCTGTGAGAGGCAGGAARKGAGYRGATCTGAAGCTGTGGATGTCAAATGTGCATAAAGGGATCCATTCAATCGGTGGCCCATGAGAAAGGAATTATTCCACKGATCTCCAAGGGTAAAGCTGCTTCCAGTGAAACTTTGAACAGGCCCAGGCATTGTTACTCACCAGCTGGATTTCCACTGCAGTCACAGGCCTGTGGTTCAGCAGCTGCAGCTTCTCTGCCCTGGGTGAAAGCAAAGGGGGAGACAATTCAYGTTACTGAAGGTTGGAGGGTCCCCTTCAATGTCTGCAATGATGCAAAYACATTCCTGATAATTCAGGGATGAAATGTCACTGCCAGCAATAATTCTGAGTGTGTTTGCAGTGTGGTTTAACAGCCATAATTTGGGTATTTTAATGTTTTAATTGGATGTTTTCCTGTGTCTGGCCAATCYRTTACAATCCATCAAAMRGCAGCCACTCGTTTATCCCTTCAGCCCATTGCAAACACAAAGTTACAGCAGYGAATGACAATTTGGAAGAACTAAACTCTTGGAAGARYTAAACTCAGGGTAAAAGCAAAGTGGGAGACAATYCACTTTACTGAGGGGTTGGAGGGTCCCCTCCAATGTCTGCAGTGATGCAAACGCATTCCTGATAATTCAGGGATGAAATGTCACTGCCGGGAATAATCCTGACTCAGTTTCCAGTGTGGTTTAACAGCCATAATTTGGCTATTTTAATAATTTGKGTGTTTTCCTGTGTCTGGCCACCTCTAGCCAAGAGACCCTCAGATCATTAATGTGAAAGCATTCACTAATATTTTAGTAAAACTGAGCAGAAATGTTGAAAAACTCATCAGAGATCAAAAACTTCTGCTCTGAACACACAACCACATGAACAATTTTCATACCCAAGGAGTTACAATCCATCAAACAGCAGCCACTCRTTTATTCTTTTAGCTCATTGCACAAAGTTTCAGCAGTGAATGACAATTTGGAAGAATTAAACTCTGGGTAGAACTAAACTCTGGAAGAACTAACGTCTTGGAAGAACTAAACTCAGGGTAAAAGCAAAGTGGGAGACAATCCAAGTTGCTGGGAGGTTGGAGGGTCCCCTCCAATGATGTAAATGCATTCCTGATAATTCAGGGATGAAATGTCACTGCCAGGAATAATTCTGAACTGGGTTTGCAGTGTGGTTTAATGACCACAATTTGGGTATTTTAATAATTGGGTGTTTTCCTGTGTCTGGCCACCTCTAGCCAAGAGACCCTCAGATTATTAATGTGCAAGCATTAATTAACTGCTGCTTTGGCAAAAGCAGAAACGCTGAACAAACCATCAGAAATCAAAAATTTCTCCTCGTTTATTCTTTTAGCTCATTGCAAACACAAACTACAGCAATGAATGACAATTTGAAAGAATTAAATTCTGGGTAAAAGCAAAGTGGGAAACAATCCAYGTTACTGAGGGGTTGGAGGGTCCCCTCCAATGATGCAAATGAATTTCTGACAATTCAGGGATGAAATGTCACTGCCAGCAGTAATTCTGACTGGGTTTGCAGTGTGGTTTAACAGCCAGGTTTAGCTGTAGTTTTTGGCAGCGAGGAGGGAAAATATTTTCTAAAAGTCCTGAAGATTTTCAGCTCAACACTTCCTTGACTGTGTTGATTTAAAGACAAAAAGGGCAATGTTCCTGTCCAGTTTTTTTWAAATTATAATAATATGCAGGGGATTGCAAATTTGGTTATTCCAAAATTAGATCCAAGATAAGCGATCAGCAACAGGAAGAAGCACAAGCAGAGCCACTTTTCATTGAACCATAATTACAGAGCTCCAACTTAATAAATATTCTTTTCATGCACTGCAATTCAGTATTTTATAAAACATGAAGCCATTCCAGAYACTAAAAGTGGAAAATTAGCTGCTAGTGGCATCATTTATTTCCAAATACAACATGGCTCACTGAACTGCAGCTTCAGCCAAAGCTTGAGGCCTCGACAAGGTAACAGTAAAATTCATTACGTGCGTTCAGAGGTTTGGTTTAAAAATAAAAAAAAAATCTCAGTTTTACAGTTTGAATTGTACCAAAATAATGAYGGAAAACTATGGGAAAAACTGCTTTACCACACCTGAACTACTGAACTGTATCAATTAAAGATCTGTTTAGGTGGCTTTGAATTCGCTCCATTTAGCAAGGCAGCTTTCTGAAATKACTCTGGAAGATTTATCTGCACATTTTGGTGTTTATTTTTTAAATTTGCCTTTTAAAAGCTTTTTTTTTGTGTCTGTAACACGAGACAAATCCATCATGAAATGGTGTTAAGCYGGTATTTTGAGTGATATAAATAATTGAGTGAATAAATATCCGTGATAACAGAAAGATTTGAGGTGATTTTCCAGGAATTGAAGAATTTGCCAGGATTGTATTATCAGTTTTCTCATTGAAGCACCTTTTTTCCTTGTGTTAGGGTTGTTTTTATATTTGTTATAGATTGTATAATATTAGTGGGTTTGGGGGTTTCTTTAGATGTTTAAAAATATTTTTTGTTTTTTTAATGGATATTTTAATGCTTTCTTTGTGCTGTTTTTTAAAGGAGTGAAGTTGGTGCAGCCTGACATCTCGCAGGGTTAATGCTGCAGGTTTGTGAGAGGAAAAATCAGAAATTTTTAATGAAAAGRGAATTCCCTTGATTAAAAGCTCAGTTCTCTCTCAATTCCTGGTGTTTCCAGCTGGGAATTCTCCCATCCASCAGCACAACCTAGTGCTGAGAGCAGCAATCACAGCTGAGCAGGGAATGTCACATCCCATAGGCTCAAAATCCCTTCCAAACCCTCAAATCCTGGCTTTAGGAAATRAACTGAGCCTAATTAAGAACCTAAAAACTTAATTGTTTAAACTTAACTGCTTAATTGTTTGTTGTTTGATTAGAGGTGGAGTTGTGAGGAATTTAAAGAGCAGGGGAATGGGTGATGGGGTTTTTCTGACCCTTTAAGTAGACTGAGGTGTTTGAGGACAGACCCAAATTAATATAAATATATCTTAAATCAAAATCAGCCACCTGCAGAGAGCTGTGACAGGGTCTGACCAGCTAAAAGGGCACATTTTGGGGTTCCTGCCCCASAAAGGAAGCAGCAGAGAGGCTCTGGAGTTCTTTACTCTTTATTAACTTSTCTTAATAAAAGAGAAATTATTCATTACAGAAATCATGCAAGCAAGGTCCTGGAAGAGCAAACCCCACACAGAGCTTTCCTCTCCAAGAGAAGAAAACTCTCCATCAAAACAGCTAAAAATTCCCAGGGAAACCTTTAATACAAACACCTCCATCCCAACAGAATGGAAACCATCAAAACCCTAAAAATTTTTCATTTCTTTAACAAGAGAAGCAGTGTTGAGATGGCCTTGGTTAAGAAGCAAAGGGTAATTCCAACATAAAAGTGCATTAAAGAATCATTTCCCCCCTGTGCTTTGTGGGGTTTGGGGTGAAGGAGATCCCAGATGGGCCCTGACATTTCTGACTTCAAGGGGTTGAGTGGAAAAGATCAGAAAAAATAAATGCCAGGATCACACAAAACAATTCTGGGATTTATTTTGTAAAGTATGTGGCAAATGAAGAGTTGGGAAGTTCCTTAGCAGATGAGAGAGGGATTAACAAAGCAGAAATTGTTCAGGATGCTCAGAGAATAAATCTGGGTTCTGATAGGCCATAAATAAATTTGTCACTCTCATCCTGCTGCCTCCATGCACAAGAAATGATTTGGGAATAACTCCCTGGTTTCACTGCCTCACAAAAAGGACAGAGAGGATGAGATCTAAACCCAAAAGAACCTGGGAGCACCCATAAATGAACAAAAAGTTCATTTAAAGCTTGAAACCACCCCAAACTTTCCAGCAGTGCTGCACTGCAGCTCATGAACCAGCAGGGCTGGAAAGGTCAATATTTGGGTAGATCTTCTTCAGAAATGCTCAGCACTATGGGAGACAGAGAATTTGTAGCTAAAATTTCTCATTATGACTCAAATTTTTCAGTATTTCACTCTTGGAATAAAATGTACCTGATGAGATAACAGAGCTCTCCTGTTTTTTTTTTTTTTTTAAGAGTTAACCCCCAGCTCCTGGTCAAATTCTACCTGAAAAATTTAGAAATGAGTTTGAACCGAAAATAAATCCTCTGATTTTTAATGAGAGTTTTATACCTACCTCACTGAGTTCCTTTTACCCTGACAAATCCCACTCTTTTTTTGCTGTGACACCTCCTTCTGCTGCTTCTCCCTAAACTGCTACCTTGCACAGACACCAAAGCTCATTTCTCCTCAAAAAGAGATTTTTGACATTACCAGAAATGAAGGATGCTCACTACTACTCCAGAAAAGGTCTGCTGCCAATTTTAAGACACTTTCAGTGCCCTATTACAACCTGCACACCTCCATTTCTATTGCAGAGTATTTTCTCCATGCTTCAGTACCTCCAGAAAATAATTAGSATAAGGAAATGAGTATTTTACTGCATAAAATGAGCTACAGGAGGATTAAACACTGAATTACCAACTCYAGCTGTGCCAAAGGAAGTAATAAAAGCACAATTCCAATGGGCAGGACCAAAATCCCAAGGAATTCTGCAATTCCAGCAGCACCAGAGATGCTGCTGGGCTGGATGTGGCTGCCTGTAGAGAGGGGGCACTGAAAGTCTGACAAAAAGCTGCAAATCTGCTTTTCTCTGCTCAGCCAGGGTGAAAACTCACCTTGAAGCACTCCAGATGATCTCAYTGGGCATTTTGTGACATAACCAAATGAATGAAAAGCCTCTTTGCCAGAGGATGAACTCCTTGGGAGTCCCCCCAGCAGGGAATAAAAACAAACTCGGTGTCTCTGGAGCACTTTGAAGCGATAGAGGAGTCATTCAGAAGCAGTTAAATATAAATATTGGGTTTTTTACTGCTTTAAAAATCAGAGGAGTGATCAGAGCAATCCAAACAAGTGGCCAGCTGATTGCATTTCTATTTACATCAGGCTTCACTCCACTCTGCAGAGCTTCCAGAGGATTAYGTGCTTCAAGAACAGGCTCTCACAACACAGCCAAAAAGCACCCTTGGAGCCTTGTAACTGCAAAGGAAATCTTTTATTTTCCCAAAAATAATCTTTTTCATTTCCCAAAATAAGAACTGTAAGTTTAGCTTCACTAGAAACTCCCTGRGAAGGGGGGAAGGTGATCCATGGAATATTTAAATAACTGAAATATCAATCTCAGAGATCCTGAGGGACMTAAATATCACTATTTATTTGGGAGAAACAGCACATAAAGATGGGARTATTCATCTATGAGCCTGGCTGAGCATTGAAATCATGGCAGAAAATAATGAAAACACTGAAATTAATGAGATTATCACTCTGGGCACAGGGATCAGCTTTTCAGCACTGCTGGGAGTTTGTGTTTCTGTTCAAAGGCAGAGCTTCACTTACTTGGTTAATTTGTGGTCTTTCATTGCTACCAGGAACTCTCTGACAGTCTCAGGGCTCTGATACCTGCAGGGTGTTTTGGAAATGTACTTCAGGGTCTGCAGGGGACAGAGAGAAAATAATCTATTATTTATTTCATATTTATTTATTTCATGTGTATGAAACAAGTAGATTTTGAAAAGTGTCCTCAGTAGTGARAAAAACAGGAATATCAATTCAGTTTGGAAATCAACTTTCTCTGAACTGTTCAAAGCCCAAAGTCTCAAGTTAAAGAGGACAGCAAAGAAGTGACTTTTAGCTCTGTCTGCTTAAAAAACCCCACTTGCTATTTGTGACAGACATTTTATTCCTTGGTTGGTTTTTATCTTTCAAAAAGCACTTAGAGAAATTGAGTGCTATTTATCCTTAAACTCACATTAAAACCTTCTGCCAAGTTTTCCTGTGCTCAGTGCCAGGGATCCTCTCACTGCCAACCAGAAATCCCTTTTAAGATCCCTAATCTATGATTTTTTTTTATCCTTTACCTGCATTGTTGGCCATTTAAAGTTGACAGGAGCACAGTAGGTGGGTTGTTATGAAATCTGCAGGGATATTGTGCTATTAAAAATTAATGTTTATCTGATTGAGACAATTAAACTTTATTTTTTTACATGTAACACCCACCAACCTCAACTGACTTTGACAGCAGRTGTTCCATTTATTTGCTTTATTTAAAATAACACAACATTGAGCAGGTAGAYAATGTAATTACATTACAAAATGTAATTTGACCAGAGTAAAAACCAGTTTGTTGATAACAAAATGCCACAAAAATTCCAGTTCACCGCTGACTTTTCACTGGAAGTGGCTTAAAGTCTTCCTGAATATTTATTGTTGCTTGAATTAAACCCCAAAATGAATAGCTGTCAATAATTATTTTTTATTATTCTTTTTTGTATGCCCYGCCTGACCTTTTCAGATAAAACGAAGCTGTTATTCACCACCAAGGACTGAAATGAAATTATTAATAATTGCAGAATAATTTCACAGGAGTAATTTCTCTTCCAGGTTAATCTTTTCTTGGCAATTTCAAATCCATAAAAATGCCAAATACACAGAAAAACAAAGCTCCCTTCAGGGAGTTATTCAGCACCAATGGATCCAGGTCTGCAGGGAGCTTGTGAAGAAATACAAATACAATCCTGTCAGATTAAATTCTGATTTTCTTTCAGAATAAAAAGTTTCTTTCATAAAAAAAAACACCCAGAATTTGCATAAACTCAAGCTTCCTACAGGTATTTAACACAATAATAAAGCAATTAAAGAATTCAGGTGCATCYTGATCAAATTTACTTACAGGGTCTTTCTCAGCTGTTTCACAGAGGAAGAGACTGTCAGTCTCCATGAAGATTTAATTCTGATTTTTTGGTAAGCCCCCATTTTGTTGAATGCRAGGCTTAGGAATTACAACTCTGTACCTTTTCAAACAAAGCCAGAACTAAAACAAAACCAAAGCCTAGGCCAGATCTTATCCACATGAGTCGTTTGCAGGGCTCAACAGAATTACTCATGCAAGCAAAGGCAAAGTGCTTTCAGCTGCCTGTCACTCACGGTGCTGCTCATGCAGCTCTCCTGCACAGACACAAACGGTTCTCCCTGCAAGGCTCTGGGAAGTTGCTCATTTGGGGTATTTTAAATGCTRGTATTTGTGTTTTAGGGTTTTAGAGTTCCTTCCCAGCAAGGGATGAAGTGTTTTTTACCAGCCTGGCACTTAAACGATGTTATCTGTGGTTTTGCTTTTTTTCTGACAAAGTAAAAATTCAAATCATCTATTTTGGCTGGGAATTATTGGTTTTAACTCTAAAAAAATTAGCTCTAAAATTATAGGTTTAACTCTAATGGTTAATTAAAAAATATTATGGGACCTGTGCCTCAGCTTTGAAATCATCACCTTAATCATCAGAGTATGCAATGTCATCAATTCATCAGATGACAGTGAGCTCTGCCCTTGTCTTAGAAGGATGGGATATATGGAATTTAAAAAATCCTAACAAAACAAAACGGTTCAAACCCATGGGGTTTAGAATTCTTTTTACAGATTTTAATAACAGCTGCCTACCTTTACTCAGACAGCACAGTTATCCTACAACCTCAATAAGGCCAGCGTTGAAAAGTGGCAGAAAAAAACATTTTACTGTGATTTTTAATAGGGAAGATTTGATTCCTAATTATTAATATAGGATGTGAATTATTCCAGTTTGAGCTAACTGGTAAAAGGACTTTCCCAGTGCTGCTCACCTCATACATGATTGTGTTCAGRTTCTGCTGCCCGGAGCTATGCTTGGTTTTGCCGCTCTCTTTSCGCTGCTGCTTGAGATCAGTAAGTAACTGGTACACCTGAAGATAAAAAATAAAATATTTTAGTCCATTTGAGAGTATTTTAKTTTAAAATATTGCAACAGGGAATCTTAAATGAACAGGAAAAATCATATCAGCCAAACAACAAAAAAACTGTGGTTGGTTTGGTGGATGCAGCAGCAAGTGAAAGGAGAAATATTTTAGCCCCCGAGTGATGAATGGGGATTTAAATTGTTTTTTAAAAGCTGTGGTTGTTTAAAGCAGATGAATGAAACCTTTTCAGAAGTTTTGCTTCAGGCTTTCCAGTATATCCAGAGTCAATACCCAGAGMACTTCTCACTGTTTATCCCCTCATTTTTACCTGGCTTCACTCAAGGGAATTACAAACTGACAGCTCCAGAGAAATAAGAAACCAAACATCTYTAGACAGTGAGAAATAAAAATATCATCAGCTACAGACCCTGCAATTACTTCATTCTGCACCTCCTGTGAAAAAGGAACACCTGTCAATGCTGAAATCCCWAACTCAAGCTGTGAACTTCGACAACAAACACAAATTGATGACTCTGAGCTCACAGAAGAACTGCAGGGATGGAATTTCCTTTGCAAAGCATCACCTTGATTTACAGAATGTTGGCTTTGCCAGTGAAACTGCAGCAAATGGAAAGGTATCAGTGTTTTAGGGGACTTTGAAAAGCCATATTTGCTGCTTTTTCCACATGATTTTAACAGGCAGACACTTAAGAGGAGTTTGGCTGATATAAAATCATTTATTTCTTAGAGGAAATTAAGAGAWTTCTCTCCAAATATCTCATTAAAGCCTTTCTAACAGTCACCAGATGCCTGCTCTGCTGTTTGCACACAGAGGCMGCTCAAGATAAAACACTTCAAGATTTATTTCGGGCTAGAATGAAACAGCTGGGCACTAAAAAGCTGCTTCAGCAACACAGTAACACAAAAACTCTTGGGTTATTAAAACTTTAAAAAATTACATTTATCAACAAAGCACTGAAACCTTTTGTTACTTTGCTTAAGTTAAAACAAAACTTCCTTCCACCTCCCTTAAAATGACAAATTCCTTTGGAATAATCTCAACACCAAACAAACAATAATACAGTRCCCATTAATAGCAAAACCATTTCCAAACCTTCTTTAAAAATCTTTTTTTTTTTTTTCCTAAAAACAACCCAAATGCAAGGAGGTGTAAATYCCCTACTGATTGTCACTGACAGTTTCCAGCATCCAGAGATTATATAAAGGATTGGTGACAGCTTTAAATTGCTGCTTTAAAACCAGAATGAAGACAAACTCACCTCAAAGTTACTCAGCAACGCGGCATTTGCATCTTTTCTAAAAGGAAAAATTAATTACAATTAATTAATTAAAAACAATTCATTGAGATCCACATAAAACTGCTTAGTTCTTCTTTGCCAAATCACAGAGACTAAAAGAACAAACTCTGTTTTCATAAAGTTTAAAAAAAACGGTCCAAGAAACCTTATTTTGGTGATTCTACAATTGCCACCAATTTTTCCATACTGTCAGAAGAATTATACCATAAATTTGGAGTATATTTTGCACAGTTTGCCCCATAAATCATAATACACTTGTACAACACACTCAGCCAATCTATTTTATTCACTCACCCAATTTCACACACTAAAACCAAATTGCTTTGCATTTTCCTTGGGGAAAAAAAGGCTCTGATTTTATTGAAATAAAGACTGGGAAAAATAATTCAGATTACAAACACTGTTTTCTTTACTAGTCAAGAGCACACTGAGTATTTTAGTACCATGGACAAATGTGCGTGTATAGACACAAGTAGGGCTTTAATTTATATGTGTGGTACTGAAGAAAAAAACCCCCAATTTATTGCATTTCCTCTTTATTTATTCTTTCCATTTTTATGTGCTTATTCTTTTACGAGGAYGGCAAAGCTGAGTTTCCTCTTTTCCACTTCCTCAGTCCAATTAAGCAAAAATCCTTATCTGAGGTTGGCAGGGTGAGTGCAGAGCCAAGCACCTATTTACACTCACGATGCCTYTATTCCTCCTGGATACTGTAAATTTAAATATTTAAAGTAAAAAGAGGGAGAAAAAMCAGACACAGACCATCCTATATGCCCCGAACAACACATTCTGCTGAGCAGTCAGTAGCCACAACAACAGAAAGTTTCCATACAAAAGGAAAAAAAAAAAGGCCTTTCTCAGGTCTGCGCAGCAGCTTAGGGAGAAAGAAAAAAAAGAACAAAAAAGGTACAATGTGTTGTTAAGCACCGTGAATCGCCTGAATAGAACTGTCCCGTTCATCACTTTCCCATGGTAAATGCATCCACAAACTTCCACAGGTTCTAGCATTGTTTTTAAATGAAAAGGACCTCCTAAAATACGCTGAGATGAACTTCAACTTCCATTTCGCTGACCCGAGTGAAACTTCAGCAAGTGAGCTCAGGCACGCGTTAGTTTTTCATTCATGTTTCACAAACCATATAGCTTTTGTCGGGAGGTAAATGCAAGTCTTCAGAATGTTTGCATTCAGCCGGGCCCTACAGAAATCCCCGCGGAACAAAGACATTCTATAGGGAGAATTACATATGGGATCGTTCAGCCGAAAGGGTCATACGGAGTAAATACACAGCCCCTGTGCTGGAAGAATTAAATTATTGAAGACAACTGCTTCCTTTTG